TTGGTGAGTGAGATGTGCAATGTGGTTGTTTTGGGAGACATGGACGGGTCTGGTGAGTCTGCTTTTTTTTCCTGTTTTTTGTTACTGTGAGCAGCTGTACTGATACGTTTTCCTGAGTGTGTTTGTGTCACTGAGCTGTGTTTTGCTGGTGATTTTTGTGGAACTGAGTTTGGGTGGTCCTGTATACACGGTGATTAAATTGCTGTTCTCTCACTATACATTGACATTTTCAATAAACATTTTATGGCATACTATACCATGATTCTTTATTTTTATGATGCACTTAAATATGGCATACTGACATTTTTTACACTGCACTATACTATATTATATATATATATATTATTTTTTTATTAAAACAGACTATACTTTAACTTGTTTGACATTTTTATATGGCATAAAATACCATGATATTATGACGTACTATGTTTCATCAAATGTTCATGGCATACTACACATATTTTCCTAACATTATACTGACATTTACAATGTTTACATTAAAGTATTTTATGGCACACTATTTGAAATTGTTTAACAATTATTTATGACCAATTTGTACATTTTTCATGACTTTAATATATTTTTATGGTATACTATAATCTGAAATTTGTATAACATACTATACTATGACTTTTCATGACTTTTTATGACTTTTTTTCGATATAGTATACTATGACTTTTCATGACTTTTTCGTCATGCTATACTATGACTTTTTTTTCGACATGCTATACTATGACTTTTTTTTCGACATGCTATACTATGACTTTTCATGACTTTTTTTTCGACATGCTATACTATGACTTTTCATGACTTTTTCAACATGCTATACTATGACTTTTTTTTTCGACATGCTATACTATGACTTTTCATGACTTTTTTTCGATATAGTATACTATGACTTTTCATGACTTTTTCAACATGCTATACTATGACTTTTTTTTTCGACATGCTATACTATGACTTTTTTTTTCGACATGCTATACTATGACTTTTCATGACTTTTTTTCGATATAGTATACTATGACTTTTCATGACTTTTTCAACATGCTATACTATGACTTTTTTTTTCGACATGCTATACTATGACTTTTCATGACTTTTTTTTCGACATGCTATACTATGACTTTTCATGACCTTTTTTTCGGCATACTATACTATGACTTTTCATGACCTTTTTTCGGCATACTATACCATGACTTTTTATGACTTTTTCGACATACTATACCATTTCTTTTTTCGACAGACTTTTCATGACTTTTTTCACCATGATATACTACTTTTTCGATGTACTATACTACGTCTTTCTTATGACTTTTATCAACATGCTGTACTATGACTTTTCATGACATGCTATACTGTGACTTTTATGACTTTTTTCAATATAGTATACTATGACTTTTTTTTTATACTTTTATCATCATACTTTGACGTTTTCCAATAAACTACGATTTTTTTAGTGACATACTATAACTATTGTAAACATTCTATACTTCAATCAGGAGAGACTTGATTAGAATTTAACAATAATTTATTATACAAGCATAAAATTTGAATAATGCAAAGTCTTTGGCGATTGGACTCCATCCTGAAGTAGGGATACTGAGGTCAGATAAGGCCGAATCCCCCTGGAGTCCAGACACTGGTGGTGGTGATGAAGGGAGTTGCTGCAATCCGCTGATGAAAGAGCATGACTGTGATGCTGACTGGAGGTGACTGGGGTGGAGGAGGGTCTCATCTGCTTTGAGCTGAAATGACAACTGACGGCAGCAGAGAAGAGAACATTTTTTTTTTAGAGTTTGACAGCAACGATGTGATTGGCTTAAGGAAAAACTCTCCAGAACAGAATCTGGTTGGTTACTTTAATGTGTCCTTGAGCAAGACACTTAACCCCAAAAAATTGCTCCCGTAGCTGTGCCTACGGTGTAGAAATGTGATAGTATCTGAATTGTAAGTCGCTTTGGATAAAAGCGTCTGCTAAATGACTAATGTAATGAACGCCTCCAATCAGCTGATAGAGTAATCACGGAGACAGAGATTATGAATGAAAAGGTGTGTAAAGATAGTCTTCCTGACTGAACTTGCGCTTAAGCTTCATTGTGACTTTTTAACATACTATACTGACTTTTTTTGGACCTTTTTCGACATACCACACTGACTTTTTTTACATATTTTACCATTTCGACATACTATACTATGACTTTTTTCAACATAATATACTACTTTTTTTCAAACATGCTATACTAAGAATTTATGGCTTTTCATGACTTTTTTGACATACTGTACTATGTATTTTTGTATGACTTTTTCTAAATGCTACAATATGACTTATCGACATACCATAACGACTTTTATGACTAACATACTATGACTTATTTCGACATGCTATACCATGACTTTTCAACATACTGTACTATTAATTACTTGTGACCTTTTTCGACATGGTATACTATGATTTTTTTCTCTGACTTAACGACATACCATACTGTTATATTTTACACTTAACACCAGAGGTAGCCATTTCACAACCACATGGACCACAGGACTTCATGGTATTTTTGACATGCAAAATTGTAACATTTCAGATTTGTGTGAATGAATAAAGAGAGCAGAATCACAAAAACTACAACCTTTAATACCTGGTGTCACAGTGTTAGTGGAACTGTAGATATACTGAGATGTCGTAGTTGTACAGAACTGCTCCAAATATGCCATTTTACAATGTTGAAGTCTTTGCATCACCCAGGTCAATTAACTTTCAATTACTACCTAACCTAGAGACATTGGTTACTATCTCTAAATACATGTCTGCTGTACAGACAGCATGTCTTTTGACAATAATACACTGACTGAGGTGACTTAAATTGAATTGACCAATCAGGCCTGAAGAATTCCGCTCCTAAAAATCACTAATTCAAATACCACAAACTATGATGTAAAACGGGCGTATAAAAAAAAAAAAAAAAGCAAGACATATTTAGCCAACCTGCCGACTAGAGCAAGGCCACTCAACGCTGTATATCATATGGCTGAACATCAAAACAAGTTTTTCCAAACTGAAATAAAAAGCAGACAGTTGACTGATACCATTCCAAAGATCTTTAGAGGCTACAATATTGTAATAACATGTAGAAGTTAGAGAAAAATCATGCAGCTTCATCTCGACACAACCAGTTATAAAATATAAATTGCTGCTTGTAACTAGACTTGATAGGTTAGTTGCAAAGTAGATCTTGAGTTTATAAGTAAACCGGACCTTGCGTCTTCCAATTCAAGCGCCAAATCTTAGAAGCAAGCCCTTAACTCTGTCGAACTGTCGTATTCAAACCCCATTGCTGATAAGTGGTTATATAGGTCTTTATCTTGAGCCCTGCCAAGCCTCTAGTGTAGAAGACGATATGCAATGAGACACTGCAGTGATTCTAGTGTTTGCTGTTTTTTGGCCCTTTTGTTTGTTGCATAATACAGTATCCAGCTGTTCAGTGTTGCCATCAAACATAGGTAAAGGAGAATGGTGTGTTAAAAAAAAATGGAAGTGGCAATGATTTTGTTTCGACTTCAGTTAGTTTGTGCCTGCTCAAAACTATGATGATGATGGTGTTGTGTTTAAATGAACATTTCTGCACTATTTGAAATTATTCTTTATCCTGGTGATATCAGAGCCCTGGCAACATTAAAAAGTACAGTTGCAATCTCTCATATGTATATTGACTTTTCTATTGGGTATACATTGATTTCAGCTGCTAAACTTCTCAGTTAAACAAAGCAGGCACCATACCACACACACACAGATATCAAGAAGCAAAACAATGAAACCCATATACAGTGCGTTTACATAAAGAAGCATTAAAATATTTTTCCACCCTGTAAAAACTGTTATTACATTACAAATACATGGTCAAAATGCACATACAGTAGACAGCTCTGGTTCCTTATCCCTTCCAGGAAATCTGCTTGGCACGATTGTCATAAAAACAACAAAAATGAAGAATTAACCTATTTTGTTTTGGGACAGCACCAAACTTCAAAAGTAGAAAATTGGACTGTCTATAATATGAAATGATCATGCTCATACAGTAGGTGAGGTCAGTGAAATTAAGTCTATAGGTAAGTGTCAAAATAAAAATTAGGATTATCATACTGAACGTCGGAGCTAAATTTGAGGACTTGAGTGAGTTGCAAATTAGCTACAGTTAAATATTAATACATTTTTTTGGGAGCCACACTTCTCAGGAAATGCTACATAAACACTTGTAAAATACACCAGAAGAAAGGGGAACGTAATTAGTAGTAAATGGCTTATTCAAAACATTCGAATGGCTATGCATGGTAACAAAGAAATTATATGAGAGAACATAGGAAAACGTACTGAATAATGTGTATATAATTAAATGGTTTTACCTTTGTTCCTAGATTAACTGTTGTGAAGCTGAGATTCCCCTCACAGGAATAAAGACATTAACAAATGAAAAATGGGCCAACTCTGTCCTGGTTTTAAAGCTCAAACGTTAGTTATAGCTAAGAGTAACTTCGGAGATGAAAATAAAATGGAGTTTCTGAATAACTCCCTGATTAAATAAAAGCCATGATATGTATATGGTGACATTCTGCAGCTTTCACTAGCTAAACCTACTCTTGGCATACAGTTGATTATGACCAATCAATAGCCTTTTAACAATGGAAATGCACAAACTTGCATAGATAAAGTGATATAGTATAGAGCAGTTTCATAATTATGTGCCCAAAAACGGGACTTTTTATTATGCACCTTACAGGCAATAGCTGCTTGTTATCGGAGGTCTAACTACCAACAAAACCATCGACACTCTGACCACTAACATATGCAAGTTTGCAATTTAGGCAGGTATTTAAGCCTGAAAGAGTGGGAGATCTGGTGTGAGTTAAGCTTCAGATTGTTTGTGATGATGCAGCTCTCCTGCTCAAAAAGGCTTAGGAAATACAGGCCCTAGGTCACATCAAACATCAGTTTAGGGCAGTTGTCTTTTTTCTTCCTTTTTACAATATGGTTATTAACAGCATGGCATATGGATGACATCATAGAATCATCTGAATATAAAGGGCTTCACTGACAACATGCTTTCCCTGGGATTATTTTGACTTTAACTCTTGTTAATGCACAGGGGGAATGCCTGATTTAGGCTATTCTCAATGTAAGGCTATTCATATCTATTTGGTTAAACCACCACCTGGGGGACTGAGAATTACAGGAGTGACATCTCTTTTAGTGTATTAAAATGGTTTCACAACATGTGGATACAAAGTCCCCAAGTAGACTATAAATTAATGTTGAACTTAAAGGGGAGTACCACTCAATTTGGGAAATCTCTGGATCTTAGAAATCTGTGTGACATCTTTCGGAAACAAATGTCTCTCTTGAAGATGTAAAATGTCCGAAGGTGTGTCAAAGAAAGTAAATTCGGAGATGGTAATGAAAAACATGGGGTGAAAATTGAACAAAACTAGTCTTCATTGTCACTTAACCACAGATAATTTGTGTGTTTTTAGATTTGAGTGGCAATCCCCTTTAATAACTGTAACTTACCGTTTGGAAAACACTCAAAATACAACACAGACACTACTCTGAGCACAGTTCTATTTAAAGCAACAGGTTATAAAACATTGACATCATCAAGAGGACGTGCTATACATTGAGGCGGGAGTGACAACAGCCTCCCATCTTCACCTCAGTCATGAACATGATCTGAAAATCACGTTCCGTGTGCAAATCGAGTGAACACCAAACATGCGTGGCGTAACTCTAATGCTACTGACTGAATCCGTAGAGCTACATTGAGTGTGGTGGCGGGGGAAAAAGCTTTTGTTGCCTACGACAAAACAGAGCGATAAAGTAAAAGTTATTTTTAAAGTGGCTCCTGCATTGTATTGTCCATACAAGAGAAAAGCGTTTCTTGACTTGGAGTCTTCCTTTGTTTGTAGTAAATACCACACCACGGTAACCCACAACGAAGGACCACTTGAAGTGGCCCACACTTCCTCCACGTCCCGAAACCACTAACATCTGACCTCCTCTGACCTGTGACCCTGTACCTCTCTTCAGGCCAAGGTGTAGGGTCGCTTTTTTTTTTTTTACCATGCCTCCCTCCTGCAGAGCGATTTTGCGGGCCCCCCCCCCCCCCCCCCCAAAAAAAAAAATTAAGCACTTAAAGCTGGTGGGAGGAGAAGAATGTAAAGGGGTGAAAAGGAAATAAAACATGGCCCATCCATGAAGCGGCTCTCCGTTCCAGCTTTGATGGCGTGTTTAGGTTGGCAATGGATCGTCGTCACCTTTGCTGCACTTGCACTTGCAGCAGAGGACAATGGGAGTGGCCAGAAGGAGGAAGGGGGAGGCAACCAGCAGGAGCAGCCCGAAGCCAGCGAAGATCCCCACAACCTGTAGAGAAACACAAGGAAACAAATGAATACAACATATGATGCATACAGTAGGATTTGGGTGCAGTGATGTTACAATTGACCAGCATCATCTTGTAGAACACAAGTATTTGACCAAAATAGGTCAGTGCCTTACTTCAGCATGGCAAAAAAAAAAAAACTTTGGTAAATGGTAAATTTACCAAAGTAAATAAGAAAAAAAGTAAAAAAATAAGTAAAAAAGTAAATTACTCTTTGGTAAATAAGAGTATTTTTAATATTTCTTATGCAAAATATCAAAGATGATAATGTGTTTTTTTTTTTACTGTTTCACAAACTATTGCCTTGAATCCTTCCAATGAATTGCAATACTACAAGCTGGCCTACAGATGGCGTTCAATGCCTCAAAACAACAAAACTTTCTCAGCACAGAAATCTACGTTTTCCCAGTAAATCCACAAATTACGACTTTAGAAAAAAAATCAACAGTATATAAATTAGGTTTCATCTTCCAACTGACCTTCTCTCCAGGAAGTACTGATTCACATTCTACTCTCTCATACTGCATGGACAGGTACCTTTGTCATTGTGAGAGAAAACACTGGTGTACAAAAGACATGGAAAGTGATGGACAAACCCACTTGTTCTAGTGCAATAGAGTAGCATTTTAAACTTGGTTACAGCCATGTTTGAGAGCATGTACAAGATGCTGGCAACTTTTCACTACCCATGTATCGTTTGTTTACTTGCTGTTAGATATTGAAATTTAGGGTGGTTGCTGTTATGCAGTGAATGTTGCTCGGGATCTCCCACATATTGCGTCACAATTGTTAAGGCTTTACTGGTTCTCTGTACCAGCATTAACACCAGGAATGCTGTAGATGGACATGCATTAAAAAAAACATTGTGAACATTATCTAGGGAAACTCTTTACTGTTATGAGCATGGCAAGTTAGCAAATTGACCACATGGGGGAGCCAGACACCATCAAGTTCAGAGCCACAAAATAAAAACACATAACATGCAGTCACATGCCACACTGACTTATAATAGCGCAATGTTTTCCCCCTCCTATTATGAGGGCAAAAAGACGCCTTTTCGGGGTATCGCTTGTTATTTAAGAGCACGTTACCAACTATCCTTCTGACAGTTAGGATACAGGTTGAGCTGTAGAGGAAAGCACAGGGTCTTTAATTAACAGACACTGATGTTTACATGTTTAAGATATGAACATCCTTGTAACTTGATAGACATGTCGTCAGATACAGACAGGGAGAGAAGATGGTTATTGCCCTGAAACATTTTGTATTTATAAAAGAGGCTTTTTAGATGTTAAGGAGCGAGGGGGGTGAAATGAGGAGAGCAAGAGAGAGACACACACACACACACACACACGCACACACACAGGAGTGAAGCTATAGCTGACTTCCACCAGCTGAACTGTAATTATATGACTCAGTCTGCCCCACTGGGCAACAGATGCCAGCGTGTATGCTAATGTTGACAAAATAACAAGTATGTTGGACAAGGGGACGTACCACCCCATGAATAGGTTATTTGGCTAGGGAGAGATACGGAGGAGGAATTTGGAAATTTAACAGCAGAGTTGGCCTTTGTCGAAGACTTAAAACACATGTCAGATCTAATCCTGATCATGTGTAATCCGTCACTTCATTTGGTAACCTATTGGTAAAGAAGGGCCTTGGTTATGTAAACCTTTTATTTAAAAAAAAAAATAATAATAATTTAAAGTGAAAGGTGTACATAATAGGCTTAGTTGAAAACAGCAGGACACTGACCACCAGGCACTTGCATGCGGATCAAGCTGTCCCTTTCCTGTTGTGCTGTCAAGATAATGCTAATACATCACTGAATGCGAGTGTGTGAGCCAGTAAGGGAGAAAGAGGCAGAACAAGGGAGCACGTTTATGGCCACATGCTGCAGAGTGGTTTAAGGGAGGCAGCCCTGAGTGAGTGTGAGAGAAAGAGGGGGGGGAGAGAGGGGAGGAAGATGGGTTTTTCACCTGTGTTCTGTGCCAGATAACAGACGCTCTGGAGTGGCCCAGTTTGTTCCGACAGGGCCCTTTGTCATAGTGGATCAGGAGGAAGTCGTCCTGTCACACAAACACACGCATGCACACAGTTCAGATAAAGATTGACCATTAACAGTCTGAAAGACACAGGCAGCTGCTCGGGAAATTGGGTTTAAATGACCTGTGTTGTCCAGTTGTCTGTGCTTACACAATTAAGATTACATAAGGCACCACGGCTCATAAGTCACCCTTATCCAAGCTGAATTTTTAGAAAAAACAAAAACATCTCATCCCTTTCTTATCAGGATCAAGGTTAAGCTACAGTTTCCTGATAATGAAAGATATCGCTGTCACAGGGAGACAAATGATTACCACAGTATTGCAATATTCAACGTTTTTTGGAGTTAGAAAAACAAAATGCATCTTTCTTTCTATTGCAGTGAACATGAAGGAATTAAGAAATGATTAAGAACCAACTCACATCCAGGGACTCCAGACAGTACCAGCAGAAGGCGTGTTTGCAGTTCTTGCACATCATCTGAGCACAGCCTTCGTCCCTCTCGATGTAAACTTTACATTTAGGACAGCGCTTGATTGGCGCGTCATCCTCTTCATTCTTATAGAAAGAGCTGGGAAGAAATGAGACGCGTGCGATTTTGATTTATTCCAAACACGACATAAAATCCCAAATCACTCAACATTCACTTTACAAGACGCACCGCAGATGGGATTGGTTTAATGCAGCAATCATTATTTACAATCTTTGGCGTGACAGGATTGTGTGAAACCTTGGATATCTGTAGTTTAACAGTCCACAACTTTTTTTAAATTTACCGCATGGAACTCCAACACTCTTATACTTCCCTCCTGTCGGTGTCAGTTTGTCTGCATCTATTTCCCTTGTGTCAGTAAAGTGCTGATTCTACAAATCTGGAGACGAGCAGGTAGCTGGCATTTCCGCACTTCTAGTGGAAGGGGGAAGTCATTTGCAAAGAAGCATCAGAATACAGCTTTTTGAAACATTCTTACAGTGAACAGGGTGTCGTTCAAATGCTGAGGCTCTTTACAACTAAGAGCAGACCTCTTAATCCTCTCTCCCTCCACTATGGCCTTTGAGGTTTGGCCATAAACCTGTGCAGATAGAGGAAAGCTTTGCAGAGCTAATGACATTTCCAGAGTAAGAGGATATCGCAAAGAAACGGGTTAGCGGCATATGTCTCCAGGCAGCCCTCTTCTAACCTTACAGGCAGATCCTGTATCATTAAAACGGAGTAATAAGCCCACCTCAGACTGCTTTTACTGCAGTTTCGTTTCAGCCTGTTGTTTTATATCTGCCTATTCATTTGTGCTTGAGCCCTGGCTGATGCTCAACTGGCTGCAAAACAGCCAGCCAGGCAAGCCGTCAGTCTACATTTAAGAACAGACTGAGTGAATCCTGCTGTATATTGACAGTACTGCTTCAGTACTCAAGTCAGGTGAGCTGAACACGACGATGAATATGGATTGGTGCAAGTAAACATCATTTCGAGGGATTGCATCTGCAGAGACTTTATAGCCATTCATACTGTCACAACATGCCAAAACGGGATGAATTGCTATCTTTCTGAAGGTTGACGAGGAAGTAATAACATTGAGACAAATTATAACTGGAGTAGATATTGCTGCTGTGTGACACTTTTAAACAATGCTGTAATAACACTTTAACAAAAAAACAAGTCATCCAGTTATTTAAATACACTTGTTCTAACTAGGCTGATAATCACCTATGCAGATTAAGTCATAACAACATTGCATTCTTTACCAATTTTAAGGGTTATTCTTCTATTACATTTTGTATCCAGGAGCCAATACTAGGGGCTGCAACTAACGTTCATTTTCTTTAGTGGTTAATCTGTCAATTATGTTCTCAATTATGGTCCATAAAATGTCAGAAACAAAAGCCCAAGTTGACGTATTCATAAACCCAAAAGATATTTAGTTTGATATCATAAAAGATGAAGAAAACCCGCAAATATTCACATTCGAGAAGCTTCTGAAACTAGAGATTTTCTGGCACTTAAGATTAGAAAAATGTCTTAAAAAATGAGTACATTTTCAAAATAGCTGCAGATCAATTCTAACTGACGATGTAATAAATGCTGTAGAGAGGCATGTATGAATATGTTAATGAGAATATAAGATATGTGGAGGTCAGAATACAGAGGTGAGACACATCCAGTCTAATATCTGATCTGATATATAACATAGATGAGAGAGAAATTGGGAAAACAAGAATTTCAAATGCAACAGTATTGATTGGATCATAAATGGATAAGAGGCAGTACCTGTTTTCTCCTGGCAGGAAGGAGGTAATGGGCAGGTTGTTCTCCTGGCAGGCCTGTCCGGGGTGCCAGTTGGCCTTGCAGGCCGAGCAGAACTCGAGGGCACAGACGGCGCACTGGACCAGCTGGGGCAGCGCAGGAGAGTCTGCTTCCTTTAGTTGGCACACGGCCTGGCAGGTCGAGGAAGGGCACCACGTCCGGCATGGGTCCAGCAGCACCTCTAGTGGAACAAAACAAGTGCCTGTGTCATGGACAGAAGCGCTGTTGAAGGGTTAAATCACAAAGAAATTGTTTTTATTAAGATGCTTTTGGTTTTTTTCCCCGCAGAAGGTTAGTTCGTGTGGAATTTTCAGATGATTTCATTTGAGTGTTTTAAGCAGCACGTCTCCATTGTTGCGGTGGCAGCTGATGTGATCTCCGAATCTCGGCACGTAAAAAACCCAAAACAATGTGCATATGTACACACATACATGATTTAAATACGGTTCACTGTGGTAAGTGCTTATGTTGGGAAAATTGCTTTTATACAATCTTGAATCCCTGGCTTGCTGAATCTATGATCGACTTTTCCAAACTCTTTTGAATATGTGTGAAGGAGACCTGTGTGTGTGTGTTATGCCAGTTCTGTTTGAAGTTCATAGTGTGATGCACTTGACCTTGTGTCCTCTACTTCCTTCCCCTTACCTCTCTGCCAAGGACTCTGAGCACAAATTCCACATGCACTCTTGGCTCAGCCTGATAAATATGGAATGGTTACAGCAACTGTTCTGCCTGACTGGACTGGGACATTGATGAGACGGCTGACTGCCCTTATCCAGGCAGGCAGCATCAACAGCTATTTCTGAGGATTTGTATTAATTTACAGGACCCCCCCCCCCCCCCCCCCCCCCCCCTCGGTGTTCCTATGCATTTGTTTATCTTTGTGTTCATGCATTTATTTTGTTCAAGTGAGATCTGCTTGTTCTGTGTACAATGTGTGCCTGTGTGTAGGTGGAGAACCTGCAGAGCGACTACCATCAAAGAGTGACAGCACGGCTCGGTTACAGCTTGCTCTGGTAGCGAGGGAACTCTAATATTACGGATTAGCATGTCTCCGTTGACAGCGTGGACACATTATCTTTCAAGCAATGACATCCAAGCCTTTTACCAGTCGGTTAACATTTATTCTACAAACAGTGTTAACTGCAGACATTGCATACATAGCTGCACACTGAAGCAGAGATAAAAGGATTGAACTAAAATATCTTGCTATGCAAAGAGACCTGCCCGCATCGGAGTCAGTTAGACAGTTTCCGAGTCTCGAGCCGTACCAATCCAATTAGAATTTCTTCAAACAAAGTCCGGGAGGCTTTCCCTTTTATTTATATCTGATGGGAGCTGGTGTTGAGGGTTGAATACTACAGTACAAATCAGACAAATTTTAGGCCTCAATACCCCATCACAACAATAATCCTTGCCTGTATAACTATTTGTGTTCCAGAACGGTATTGAATCCATCCTTTTTGGTGTCAGAAGTGAAAATTGAAACTCTGAATTCGAAAGCAGTGGACTGCTGGTCAGCGCTAAAAGATTGAAGTCTACTGAGAAAACGAGCATCGCTAGGATCTTTTCTTTTTGCTTTCTGCAGAAACCCTATGGCATAATTCCAGAGCAAAAATGTCCAAAGGGGCCTAAATGATTGATTCCAGACAGAGTGAGCGGCAGTTCGGCTACACTTGCAAGACACGATCCCAATAAAATACAGTATCTTTGGCGAACAGGAGGGTCCACATGAGTGTGCAATTGAAAGTCATTGCCCACACACCACCCACTGAGGAGCGCTGGACATAACACTGACGGGGCTGCGGCTGCTTTTTCGTTGACTCACCCCTTTCAAACTGAAGCTTCTTGTATCTCTGCATCATCTCCGTGGCCACCATGCACTCAATCTACGAAGGAGAGAGGAGATGAGAATTGGGGGGGGAGAGATAAGCATATTTATAGACAGAAGCAGGCCCGCTCAAGTTTAAATGCAAACATTTAATGAGTCATGACATGATCATTCAGGCTTTGTAAAAGAGCAGTGAGTTATAGGTGAGGGCGTTGCTGTCGGAGCAGACAGGGATGTGGCATTCTTTGCCTGAGTGGCAGGAGTAGCTGGGGTTCCAATAAGGGCCAGTGACACTGATTGATCAGAAGCATAAGGCTGTGGTGTGCTGAGCCATGCTGTGCCTACGGGCCTCCGAGACCAAGTGGAGTGAGTCCATCAACCGCCTTGAGGATGAGGAACACTTTTCCCTCAGATTGACCTCAGCTGCTCATTATAATGGAATAAACAGAGCGGCAGGTGGAGCGCCATGGTCATCTTCAGCTCTGAGGGGGTGTGTATACAAAAGCAATGGTACTTTATATGTGGGAGGGAAAAGAGCAGCATAATAGGAGGGTTGTGACATGGAAAAAATTTGACCTGTGGAGATAACCTCCCTGATGTTTCGCTCATTTCAAGCACATGCACTACCAGCTCTGCATGTGCTACATCTGCATGTACATACAGAAGCGCTATGTACGTACAGAAGTTTATTGCAAAATTCTGTACACTGCTGTGTGAAAATGAAAAGTGATAATTGTTTATGGAAATTTCTGCAGCGCTTAAGTCCAGTCTATCGGACATTATTAGACATATTCATGAGCCTGAGGAGCAGCAGGGAATTGTTTTGATATTTGCAACCAGTCACCACGTAAAGGGCAAGTTTAGACTAATGACAACCCAAGTAGAAATCTGACTTTTTCTTTTTCTCAATACCTCATTTTCCTGCAAGTGTCCTCTTTTGGGACAGACAGAGTCTGGACAGCTAATTGCAGTTTCAAGGCCTTCTTTAATCAGGAGTTCCACATACTGCTTCAGGCACTGAGGAGAAACAGACAGAAAGACAAATAAAGCACTGAACATTCTTTTCTGAAAAAAGAAATCAAAACGCACACACACACACACACACACAAAAAGTTGGTAAACAAAGACCGACATACGAGTCGCTCTTGATCGTGATCTCTGTCTGTCGCTTCAGAAAAAGCTAGCTAGCTAACTGGCTGGTAAGGAAAATGGAGCACTCAAGAGCTAAAGAGCAAGACATTTCACTGAGGAGTTGGTGGAGACGAGACCAAAACAGACCTTTCACAGGAGTGAATGGTAGAATATTGCATTGGCTGTCAAGAAACACAACTCCAGATGAATGCTTGCATTGTTGTGTGTCTGCTGAATGTTTAAATACACAATTGTTTGCAAACATGTTCAACTTTATCAGGTGATACAACTTTTTTGAATCAATGTAGCATTAATAGCAAAAACCTATTCGGTCTAACTGATCCTCTACGAAGCTGAAAAATCTAGTCTTGCACTAGTATTTCATTAGCTTATATTCTATGTTCATGAATTTTGCTACATTGTGAATTTTTTTTTTCTATTATTGTAATCAATTTAGAAATAACGGTATCAAATATGGGGATAAAAGAAAAATTGCTCATGTGAGATAAAGGCTTTGCGTTTATATTGTTGTTGATCTCGGTGGAATGACCTGTACTAACTGAACTACTGCCACCGCCCAGACTGTGTCCTAGGAAGTGGCTTCTATTTTTAGCGGTCATTCTTGGACAAAGTTTCCTTGTTTATGGACAAGATTGGTTAAGATCTGACAGCCATTGGGTGTTACTATGGCTTTGCCCCAGCCTTTTCACACAGCATCAGTGTTACACACGAGGGGATGCGAGGTTTCTTATAGATCCCGAGGTCATTATTGATTTTAATACAATGAAAATCCAGTGTTTTGTGCACTAACTTTTTTCACACTTCGGAGTATTTCTCAAATAAAAAAAAAATATCTTTGATAGTGTATGACGTATAATTTTTGTGATCATTTATTTTTTTTTTTACTCAAGTCATCATTGTGCTAAAAAATGTGTTGCTGTAGAGTGTACCACTCACCAGTGTACAGAAGACACATTGGCACTGTGTGATGGTGGTCATCTGCTCCAGAGGGAACTCTCCAAGGCACAGCTTACACGAGACCAGGGGGTCCACGGCCAGCTCCCAGGTGGGACGGTACCGTGCTGTGGTCATCTTCAGCGCCACAGAGCTGAAACACAAAAGAAAGAGGTGGTGGGGGGGAGACAGTGAGCTATGGTTAATAAAGCCAAATGCATCCTGAAATTAAGTGAATAAAGTGGATTGGGTAATTCTCATAATCCTGCTGACGACAAAGAAAATCCTTAAAGAGCAAATATATGTGGCTCACTTTGGTTTGTGTCCGTCTACATAATAAATCCAGAGTCCAAGCTGTGCTTTATTTGTAGCGACACAATTAGCATGACGGTATGAGCACAAACTGAAAATCCATTGTGAGTTGTGTCCCGTGTGGGTGCACACACACACAACCACCCAAACACACACACATTACACAGGCCTGCTATATGCAGAATGCCACCAGCTCTCAACCGTTAATTTTCATTCCAGGCCTCACACTGGCAAAAAAAAAAAGATCCTAAAATGTGTGTAGCCATCTTCAGCTCCTTGTAACATTTTCACTTGGATGAAATAACACTTTTTTCTTCTTCTTCACCGTGCGTCATCACGTCTCTTTTGCGATAGTGAGAGAGGGTTATTTTAGGCCGTCTCGTCTCACTCTCCTTCCCTCTGCAGCTGAGAGCGAAGAGCACCCACTCAGCAGTTTACAGGAAGTGGTACCGAGCACACAACGTCAACACAGTCAAGCTCTCCCCATGCTGCTTAGCAACCGGCCGAGGGAGGATTTCGGAGACGGATCGGAGGGAGAGAAGCACGGCAGAGGAGTAGAGACCGAGAGAGACGGGTTTGCTGTTCACAAACATACAAGAAGAGGACGGCGAGGAGAGGAGTTGAAGAGTTCACATTATCGCTCCACGGACTCTTGTGCTTCATACATGTGCTAACATAAAAATAAAAATGAGATGGGGAACAATCTGTTGTAGTAATAATGCAAATCCAGGGATCAATGTGATGGGGTGCAGCCTTTGGTGCAAGGTGGCGTGTCAAGAAGAACACATGTCTCCATCCAATTTCATAACGTTATTCTTTTGTCCCAACGTAAGATAGAAATACAATGCGTCAGTAAGATGGTAAGTAAGTCACCTCTCCTACTGCTGCTCAAGGAGAGAGGAAGATTCCCAAATGGAGACTTCAGTGAGGATACACGAGTACATCATATGTGGAAGTCTATCATCAGAGACACAATCATTGAAAATTCTGTGAGTGACTGGATACTGCAGTTGGTGAGGTGAAGTATCCAGCTGCAGTTTTGTCAAACTACAGCAGAGATGGAAGAAATAGCAGCAGAAATGTAGGTGTCACAATATCTTTTTCTATATTCATCATTTAGACAAATATATTGGATGTGAGTTAAGTGAGGGTGTCAGAAGCCAGATGGCATCTTCTTTTCACTCATTTATCATACACAGTCAAGGAGATTAATAGTCTTTTTTTTGTTATTTTATTAAACTACCAACTACACTAAATCAACAATTCCAACACATGAGACCAGCCTCATTATACTTATTTAGGAATAAATAAATCTACAAGAGGAAAAACTTGAAGAAAGAAAAAATAACTGTAGATGGAAGAATGAAAAAGACAATAAAGAGAAAGGAAACTGCTTGTCAGAAAGTGCAGATTCAAGTGACTTGCAAAATATTTCATTACATTGCGTAAACAACTAGATTTACTGCCTCACGGTTGAGCCTCTGCCAACCAGTCAAGAAGCAGTTTTATGTCTCTCCAAAATGTCATCACGTCAACCTTTTATCATGTCAGACATTTGTGTGAAATTAATTAGCATGTAAATTCTTGAGTTATGGCCCAACAACGTGTTTTGTGAATTCACAGTGACCTTTGACAACAACATTCTAATCAGTTCATCCCTGAGTCCAAGTGGACGTTTGTTCCATGTTTTTAGAAATTCCCTGCAGGCATTCCTAAGATATTGCTTTCACAAGAATATTACAGACGCCAGAACACATAACGCCTCCCGCCACAGCTGTCCACAACAACTCTAAAACAAGACGGTACAGAGCAGGTGATCCAGCTGTGCACCTGTTCTCTCAGTAAGAGATTCATTCAGATGATGGAAGGAAAAAGTGTCTCATTTGAGGAAATGTGATTCCCTCAATTCTTCCTCCTTCGCACCGAGCAGGTGGACGGAGGAGAAATTGCGACGTGAGAAAGAACGAGATGCAACTCATGTCTGACTCACTCAAATCACCTGACATTCATCCATCTATCCACCATCTATTACGCCGACCAGAAAGCACCGAGTGGTGAGGAAGCTCTATTGTGTAGGTGCTGAGCTCGTTTACAAAAGTTTAAATGGCAATTTGTTACCAGGACAAGGCCAAGGACTTCCAAACATGACCCTCTGGGGAGTGCGTGTGGGGAAGAGTGTGCTTTGGTGGTCCAAGATAATATGTGGGCGGAAGAAGACGTGAAGTAATTAAATCCAAAATTGGAAATGAGCCATATTTAAGTAGTTGAGTGCAAACGAGCAGTATGTGGCAGCTTTAAAGCAATTCTGAAATGAAGCATGAGTGAAGGGATACAAGTAGAGGTTACAGGAGCAACAGCCATTAAAATGTCAACCTGATATAATCTAACAATACTATTTTGCCAACATGGGCAAACTTCACAGACAAAGAGGGAGACACAGGGCCAATACAAATACGAAAGCCTGACAAACCTCATCAACGCCTCTGAAAACTTTACAGCGGATGACTTGAGTATGACAGCTGTTCCACAAGGACTGAAATGTTTCTTTATCTGCCTCCGTGTCGAAGCTGCAGGACTCCAGTAGCCCAGTGGCAAAAGAAACAGACGGTGAAAAGTAATTTGCACTTTACTGTGCAGGACTTTCAGGAAGACTTTCAGTGTCTGCTTTTGCATCCAAATCAGTTTCTCTCCTGCCACACTTTATATTGGTTGTGCTAATACTGACAGACTGGGTCGATGGGGACAAATGAAATAGTTTTGTAAGAATGGCCTGTGGAGAGGAGAGGAACGGGAGGGGGAGAGAGCAACAAAGGGGAAAATGAGTTTTCATGAGAAAAGGTGGTGCAGTGCCATCCTTCTGCTGCATTATTAACTAGATGGTCCATTATCACTAACAGACAGACAGACAGACAGACAGACAGACAGACAGACAGACAGACA